TTTAGAAATTTTAGTAACAGAGTTTTTGGGTCTCCTTCAAGTCTAGATCACAGCTATTATATTGGAGATCATAACAAGATAGCTAAAAATTTAAAAATAATTATAAATTTTATCCACAAAACTTATTCTGGGAATTTTCAACTTTTTTGTAAAATTAAAGTTTATAGTGTACAAATTTATAGTAAGTTTTGTGTATTAAACAAATTATTATGCTAATTATATATTTTTTATATAAATAACACTTTATATATATATAATTTATTATTAACTTTCCATGATATTTACTATTTTAAATAAGAGTTCAAGTTTGACTATCCTATTATTACTTTTTTTGTTTCCTAATCATTACCAAAATTTTTAGAGAATCTATAGAAATTACAAGTAGATATTTGACAATTTAGTAATGTGTTAGTATATATAAATTAACTGATAACTTGAAATATTATTAGGAAATAATTTTTTTTAGTACTGAAAATATTATCTTATATGTTGAAGAAGTAGATAAATTCAATAATAGTAATAGTAACAATGTTGATTTGGTAAAATCTTCACCAAAAAAACAAAGAAAAAGAATAATCTGGAGCCTTTAGATATCTTTTTTTAGAAAATTGAATAGAAAACAAATGTCTGTTAAATAATTTGTAAAAATAATATATAATAGGTCTTGTATATACTACCATGCTACTATAAAATATAAATACTATATACTAATGCTCTTTATAATTGTTAACAGTTTATTTAAACTGTGTTTTAAAGATCAGCTTATTTGAATAACTATCAAAATAAAATCAATGTAATTAACACTGCTTATCAAGTTATTGGTATTACAAATATGTTTTTAATTAAAGATGTAATTTACTTAGTATAAAAAAAACTTTTAGATAGAGATGCTGTGCATTCGCACTTATAGTAAAATTTATATATAAAAAAATTTTTTTAAACCAGGTGACTGGTGAATTGCCTATTAATAACTATATTAATAATTATCAAGTAGCAATATTTTTTTTAGTAAAATTTATACATAAAAAAAAATTTTTTGAACCAGGTGACTAGTGAATTGCCTATTAATAACTATATTAATAAATTATCAAGTAGCAATATTTTTTTTAATAGAATAACAAGCTTCTTTAGATTACTATAATAATCTGATTAATAGTTAAAGATTGTTGATATAGAGAAAATCATTCTTAAGAGTAGAGAATATTATAAATTATTTTTCATATGATATGTATAGAATAACAAGCTTCTTTAAATTACTATAATAATCTGATTAATAGTTGAAGGTTGTTAATCTAGAGAAAATTATTTTTAAGGGTAGAGAATATCATAAATTATTTTTCATATGATATGTATAGCAAATCAAAACCTTATATAGATAATAAGAATACACTACTAATAAAAATTTTTGAATAGTCATCACCCTCTCCAAATGGCAGGTCTAGGGTTCAAATCCCACTAGTGACAATATTTGAAAAATAGACCTAGTTCAGTTGACGGCTATGCATATTGGTTAGATATAAAACTAAATCTGTAACTTCGGTCACACCATCTAGTGATAGGAGCTTTGGCGCAATAAATTCAAGGAACTAATATAACTGAAAACCCATTTGGAAAGTTCCAAATTTGGAGGTAACAGTAATCTTTGATGGAGGGCTGAATTTGAACTAGGGCCTGAGATCAGAGAACTGAGCGACCAGGTCCACTAGCAGAGGACACACTAGCCGAACTACCAGGTTGTCACACTAGAGGAAAAAGTTATATGCTCTGAAAGTATGAACCAAGAGGAGAACGTTCATTAGGTATCTAAAGTCTAGGCAGACTGATCTGTCTGGGTTGCTGGCTGGAAATATGAGATAGAACAATAAAAAATCTGGATAAGTAGATGGTTTGAATGTGGGTACTGGGGTTGTTGTAAACCATATAAGAGCAAAAGTATGTAATTAGAGACTAATTAGGAAGGTTGTAGCTTGAGATACAGATTAGGTTATGGCAGTACTCCAAAAGTTGGCTTGAGATACAAACTTAGTGTTGGTAGCACAACAGGTACTAGTTAGAAAGAAATTACTAACATGCAAGTAAAAGCATATATGAGAT